TGCTTCAACTACCCAGATGACACAAGTGACATTGAGTTTACCCAGCTTTCGCCATTTCCTGGAAACATCTCAGGTGGTAGCAAACTAAGAATTTTCATACAAGGTACTTTATTATTTATTGAAAATTCTTCTTTCTTCGGCTGCTCTCTAAGAAGATAGTTTGTGTGACGTCTGCTTATTGCTTTGAGTAAAACAGTGGTAGCATTCTCCGTCGATTTTCCATCTCAAAACCACGACACAATTTTAGATTTTTGTGAAACTGTTCATCCATAACAAAACCTAAATCTAGAGCCGAGAACCATTTGTGATTATTTTTTCATTCAATAACCGTACTTATATAAACATTCATAATTTTCAACAACGACAACGACCACCACCAACCTAATATCCACGTCAATATTTGAACCAAGGATTTTTGTATTTGTATAATTTAACAGCTATAGTAATCTCATCCGTCCCACAGACAGTCTTATCCCCAGCAATTTATTCTGAATGTGAGTACCAACTAGATCACTGAATACAGTCTACAAGGTTTCGGCCCTCTATTCAAATTTAAGCTGCAGTTTCAAATTCAAGGAAGCAAGAGACGGTATGACAATAATATCGGTGTTCAATATTAACGACGTAGTTAGTTATCCCTACCCAATAAGAGATTTAACCACTGCATAGCGTTTAATCTTTATTCTAAGTTGGGAGGGCGCACCATGCGTTTTGGCTTGCTGTTGATCTGAAGTTTCCAACGGTCAGTGCCAGAGCTACGTTAGTTATTAAGCTATTCCGTACATTTACTAATTTAAGTGAGAAAACTACTGCGAACTTTCGTTGCTGCTTCTCACTAGCTGGTACTGTTATCCCTCGGTGTGACCTGCTTATAGAAAGAGCGAAACAATGGTGAATGTTACAGGGTCTCAAACTGTATTGTTTGAAATGAACGAGGCTTAAATGTGCTCTTTGTTTCTCCAGACTTCACATGTCTAGTTTGTAGCACCTGCCAATGCATGGCTCCCCATGCGGCTTAAAAAACATATGAGGGGCTGTCAACTCTTAACATTCACATTGGTGCCTCGGTAGTATACCACTGCCCTGTGTTCCAGCAATGGTCGCCTTAACTTACTCACAGCCTCGGCAGGAAGTCCTTTGTTCAGGGGATCTGACCGCTTTTGCTGACAGTCATTTTTGTGTGACCTCGGAAACAGTTTATCGTTAGTTCGGCACATACAAATTAACCATGCGCGATAAACACTTCATTTTCGACTGTATAGTTAGTTATACATGGTCGCTGAATCGCGCTTCAGTTATCACTGAAGCAAAAACACTCCTATCACATGTATGTAAAGACCATGTAAGTCGCCGTGGATTATATTTAGAAAAGCGTTACATCTTACGCAAAGTCGGGGGGCGACTGGAACAAACGCTTGCAAACGCTGTTGCAGTGCATACAAACCAAACGAAGGTCTTATTTATAATTAAAATCCTACGGAGCCTTCCATGAACTCCTCGTGGGTCACAAAAATGGAGAATCGAGTTGTGGTATATTGATATTTGTTATTAATCCCTTTGCCTAGCCGAAAGTGTGCTCAATGGAAAAAACTTGTTTTCATGAAATTTCTTTGGTGAGCAACAAGTGAAAAGACTACTTCTTACGAGCAACACAGGCTGGTTTTTAATGACTGAAAATCGTTAGCACTTTCAACGAAGCATACAACGAAGCATACTCATTACTCACCTGCACATACTAACGAGAATATCACTACAAAATTCATTTAACCCCAAATGCACCAACTCAAATTCCCGCGTTTTGCACACCCTGAAAGTTGAAGAAAGTTAGCGCATAATAACCATTATTATGTTCAACATGTGCAAGCTTCATAAGGAAGCCGAAGACAACCGGAATCAGATATTTGTGTATCGGCCCTGCCCAGATTTTTGCAGATTAAGAGAAAATGCTTCAGCTCCCTATCTGAAGCGGTGGGTAATCGCTGTGACGAATATGCCACCTCCTAGACGCACACCCAAATTTTCTCTAAAACCGTAGTTCAAAAAGGGAACCTTTGGCATAAAGTTCTACCATTTGATGGTACTTATTCGGTGCGTGAGATCTCCTGACTCAGCCGAAAGTTTATAACAAGTTTTTAAACGAACTCGGAGTCTAATGTGGGCGCGGAATTTGGATTTTGTTGGCTGCCGCTGTCTTCGAGGCCGCAGGCTATTGACACACCCAAATAGAGTTCGCCGAAACTATATGGTTTCCGAAGTTGCTATTTTAATGGATAGTTATGTAGCGTGGGATGTCAGGAAGTCAGCGGTATTCGACGTTCGAGAGGACGGCACACGTCAGTTCTTGTTAAGGTCATTGAACATCGCCGATTTGCATCTTTTGCCGGTTTACGCGACATAGAACACGAAATCGCACTTTAGCATATTTTGGCGTTCTTCGGTGTTCCTGAAGAATAAAATAACCTCTTAAGTGTATTTAATGCAAATGCCTCCCTACAGGATCAGTCACAGGCGTTTGTTTGCTTTAGACATCTCAGATTTAACAAATGGGATATTTTTGTTTGGGTCACCTGATCACAGCACATTTTCCCCATGGATTCCCTACAGGGTCACAGGCGTTTGTTTGCTTTAGACATCTCAGATTTAACAAATGGGATATTTTTGTTTGGGTCACCTGCTCCCAACACACACATCCCATGGATCTCATGTTCCATTAAGTGCAATAAAGTTAGATAACAGCACGAACTTGCAGTGGCAGTGCGAGGGACATCTGTGGATGATTCCCTTTCCCAGACATGCATAACTAGCTTGTAGATAATACAGTGTTGCCAGAATGCTGTGGGCGTCTTTCCTATTA